ACGACGTGCGTCACTACATTGAAACAAATGGAATACCTCTTGCTAATAGCCCACGACGCCTCTCCGGTGAAAAACTTGTCACTGCCAAGAGAGAAATAAACTTTTTGAAGGATCAAGGCATATGTCGCCCGTCAAAAAGTCCTTGGTCCAGCCCGTTACATATGGTTACCAAAAAAGACGGTGGCTGGCGGCCATGTGGAGATTATCGAAAGTTAAATTCAATTACCATACCAGATCGCTACCCAATCGCCCATATACACGACTTCACGGAGCAACTACAAGGAAAGAAGATTTTTTCAACCCTCGATTTGGTTAAAGCATACTACCAAATTCCCATGGCAGAAAACGATATCCAAAAAACAGCGGTGTACACTCCTTTTGGACTCATTGAGTTTCAATACATGCCGTTTGGGTTAAAAAACGCGACTCAAACATTTCAACGCTTTATGGACAACATCTTTCGCGGCATGGACTTCGCTGAACACGAAGAACATCTTCGGGCTGTCTTGCAAGTACTTCAGAAACATGGCCTAAGCATCAATCTGACCAAATGCCAGTTTGCGCAATTTCAAGTAAACTTTCTCAGCTATACGATCATCGAATTTGGAATTAAACCACCCACCGAACGCATAGATGCCATTCTTAATTATGCACGTCCTGAAACCATAAGCCAACTTGGTCGTTTCTTGGGCGTTATAAATTACTATCGCAGATGTTTGGCTCGATCATCACACATACAAGCACCGCTCACTGAGTTGCTAAAGGATGTTAAAAAAATGATCAACGTAAAATTGAATGGACATCAGAGCTCCATGCAGCTTTTGAAGCTTGCAAATAAAGCATAGCAGACGCAGCCCTCTTGTCTTTTCCCGCACCAAAATCTGAACTTCAGCTGGTTTGCGATGCTTCCGATTTCGCAATTGGAGCAGTTTTGGAGCAGCGTACACACGGAAATTGGCAACCTCTATGATTTTTCTCAAGGAAGCTGAGCAACACGGAGAAAAATTACTCAACCTACGACCGAGAGCTGCTCGCTATCTTCGAATCCATTAAATATTTCAAACGTCTTGTTGACGGACGCATTTTTGTCATCAGAACGGATCACAAGCCGCTCGTGTACGCATTTCAGCAGCGACCAGAGAAAGCATCACCCAGACAGCTACGACATTTGGCTTACATCTCTCAATTCTGCACGACTATTATTCATGTGAAAGGATCCGAGAATGCAGTCGCAGACGCTTTTTCAAGATTATGCTCTATAACAATGCTGACTGGCATGAAATTATCGCAAATTGAAGAGGAGCAAGCGTCAGTTCCTACTTTTAAAAAGAACTACATCTTTAAAACTTCAAAGGGTTTGATTTGATGACAACATCTCACTCTACTGCGATGTTTCTACAGGAAGCGTTTGTCCTTATGTACCCAAATCTTTGCGCAATGCTGTGTTTTCGTTCGTTCACGGTTTGTCTCATCCCAGTGGTCGGTCAACAGTTCGTCAAGTGCGCCAAAAGTTTGTATGGCCCTCGATGAATAAAAATGTCCTCGAATGGTGCAGAGTTTGTCTACCTTGTCAACGCTCTAAGATCCACAAACACAACCACCTCTCACCAGAAAAGATCGAAGTGCCAAATGGTAGATTTGACCACGTTCAGCTTGACATTGTAGTTATGCCATTACAAAAAAACTATCGGTACTGTCTGACGATGATTGACAGATTTACGCGATGGCCAGAAGCTGTACCTCTTTCAAATATTACTGCTGAGACAATAGCTACGGCGTTCTGGACTCACTGGATATCTCCAAAAACGATAACTACGGACCAAGGAACACAATTTGAGTCAGCAGTTTTCAAACATCTTGCTAATCTGGTTGGAAGTAAACAGGTTGGAAGTAAACAGTCAAACGGACTCATAGAGAGGTGGCACAGATCCTTTAAGTCATCTTTGATGTGCAACAGAGGTACTCCGTGGCCGGAGTTACTGCCAACAGTTTTGCTTGGAGTTCGTACCTGTTTCAAGGAGGACATCAAATCTTCAGCCTCAGAAATGGTATACGGAACACCTATTCGACTGCCAAATGAGTTTTTTACCGACTTGGACGACACGGTTGACCCCACCTCTTTTTTGAGTATCTTTCGAGAGCACATGCAAAAAGTGCGACAGACATCAACAGCACATCATATCAAGCAGAAGATGTTCGTATTGAAAGGGATCGATAAATGTACGCATGTATTTCTCCGCACTGACGCCGTAAAACAGCCTTTGGAAGCCCCTTACACTGGTCCTCATGAGACGCGAAAACGATTGTGTTTTCCCTATCAGACTCAATGGCCATGAGATCGCCTCAAACCAGCATTTTTAGTAAAGGAAGACTGCCAGTTGGATTCAGAAGAAGTTACCCCTAGACTGACCAGGACATATGAGAGGCATCATGGAGTTAAATTTTCAAACCAGGACTCGTGACGCATTCACTGGAGGGGGAGTACTGTGGCAACCTAATATGGCAGCAGCGCCAACAGAAGCTTGCCAGATGACTAGAAAGAATGGTGTGGCAACACTCGGAGATTTATCGGCAAGAATCAGCGTGCGACACACGTGTCTTGATAATATTAAATAAATAAATAAAATAAATAAATAAAACTTTAATGGCAAACATACTTCGCCATACAAACATATCTGAATCCCTCTCCCACTCTCATTAGCTGAGTAACGGTTATCTTATAGTCGAGGCCACCGACTTTAGCGTTTTTTGCTGTTTTATTTGTTAGTATCTATCGACGAGCAAAAACGGGATAAAATCTGATCTTTTGTTAGTAAGTTAAATTAGTTAGTTAAGTTAGGGGCATATGAAAGTCGATGTAAAAGACAATGGCGTTTTTTATTGTTTTTTTAATCTAGAGGTCTAATAAACCGATAACTTTTGACGGGCTCTAGCTTCTATATTAACGACTTGAGCTCCACGATATGCATTGAACATTTGAAGGGCATTCTACTACCAGTAAAATGAGTCTGACCATCACGGGTTATGGAAGTAAAAACAGTCGAAAAACGTTTTACACTTATAAAACCCTTACCAAATTTAATAAAATTAACACAATTTGAATTGCATGAACCTCACAGCTGCAAGGGGAATAAACTTTACCTTCCCAAAATTAGCTTGCTTACCAAGACTTTACAAAGTCTTAATTGGTTTGGGAGAAAGAGCAATGAAACTGTAAAAGTGAAAATTTAGAAAATTGGAGCTGTTGGGTAAGGTGGGTATAAATCAGTGGTCGGCACACACATACCATCACAAGTTTGCCTTGCATTAGTGTGAGTGTAACAAACACGAAGTTTGTGCGCGACGTGCTGAAGCGAGACGCTTCTCTGCTTTGCACTGAGATCCTCTGCCGCAGCAACAAAAAAGCGCGCCCAAGTTGAGAAAAAAATGACCCGAAGACCCATGCCGAAGTCACACGAACATGTACGTTATACCTGAGCGAGCAGAGGATGGGCAGAACACTTCCCTATGCTCACTAGATAGGCCGCTGCCGACCACTGGTATAAATGCTTCCGGCTATTAACCTAGTTTTGTTCTTACTGGGAATATGCGTCGAATGAAGTAAAATATGATGCTCCGTTCAAAAGTTATTCCAAAAACAAGATTTTGGGGGTCTTTCCGAAATGAAAATGTTTGTCCCTTTGTTTGTGGGTTTGTATAAATATATGTTTATAAAGAAGCTCCATGGAAAACTTTTGTTTTACGACTTTTGGAAAAACCCGCTAGTTTGGCGGGAATTCCAAAAAATAGCTAGCTTTTTAGGGCTTATAGTTAAAAAACAACTATTGCCACAGATACGTGCTAGATGTCGCTGACGACATTTGGAACGCTACAATAGAACATAGCTTTTTATGAAATAATTTAAAAACATTTTAGAAAGTGTACATCAGAACTTTTGTATGTTGAAGGTGCGATCGTCACGACCCCTTATCTCGTTAAGAGGTGATTTTGTTTGATATAAATATTAAAAGAATGATAATCCCAAGAGTAGAAGTTAATATGTCAAAAGGCAAAGTTTTATTTTATTTCATAGAAAAAATATGTTTTTTATCCTTTCTATGGGAGCTATAGGACATAGCTGATCGGATCGGCTCGTTCCGACTTCCATTCTACCTGCAACAGAAATACGACTTCTGGGTTGGTTTCATCAAGAGACTGAGAGACTAGTTTGCTTTGAAACGGACAGACGTTCGGAGAGACGGACATGGCTAGATTGATTCGTCTAATGATGCTGATCAACAATATATATACTTTATGGGGTCGTATCCTTCACTGCGTTTCAAACTTCTGACAGGAATTATTATACCCTCTGCAAGGGTACGAAAAAAATCGTGAAAATGTCAACGGTACAAGTATAAATATCACGTTAAACTGATTAAATAATAAGGGTATGTAGCATTTTTATCACTTTAGTCTCCCCTTATTTTTACTACGGTCAGTTGCAATTTAAGGTCATCTAAAATCGTTGTCGACCTCCTGAGCATATGCAACAATAAGTCGAATGACCGCACGAAATTTAGAACTAGCACTTGCCTCACGATTCATATATGGAAAGTAAAATGTACTTCAGTTTCTGGTTGTTTGAGTTTGCTCTATCGTCAAGTTCAGGGTCAAACAGAATCCATTAGTAATTGATATAATTTTCTCACCGTTTTTTGTGGTTTGACAAGATAGTTCGAGAAATCTAAAAGCCAATCTATGTTATTGCTGAAATAGTTTTTAACATTATTTATTATCGAACTTTAAAAATATAAACAGAAATAAACATCAAACGTTATGATAATGTGTTTTAATTCTTTTCTTTAATACTGTTCTGCACCTGAAATATGAAATGAGTTTCAAGTCAGAGTTAATTAAAACAAATAAATTCAGCACAAAACTCATAATAAGTAATTACTGTTGTTACTGAGATAATTAGCAACATCTTCCAACTCCATGTTCATGTACCAGCTTTAACTTACGCGTTGGAACTCGATTACGTTTGCCATGGATTGGCTCATTAAAAAAGCTGCCCAATATGTCAATCGGCTTCATAGAACGATTTGCCTTGAGACTCTTGCGCCGTTGAATTCGCTGCAATGAAACCTGAGCGGCACAAAATACCGCAGGATCTACATCGGGTCTCGTTCCCAATCCAAATCCAGCTGTCACCATCGATTGCCGCTGACTGCAGGCCACTTCATCGCTTACACAAACTGCCTTATAACCCCGAGAAAACAATTTGCCAAACTCCTTCATATTCCCTGTTTGGATTTTTTAGTTACAAAAAAATCGAGTGGCGCTTAAAATTGTATTTTTAATTTCTTTTCACTTTAGATATTTTAAAGCCGCGGCACTTAAAAACTTTTTTGGCTCTTGCTGCTGTAGCTCCTTGTACATACGTGTACATTTACTTATGTATTATCGAGTTAACTTTATCTCAGAGCGCGTTGGCGTCCGTCCGCAAGCATTGCTCGCTTATGAATAGAAGCACGGGGCAGTTCAATGTTTAGTATTATCATCTAGAGAACACACTAAGAAAGAGCGACAATAAGAGAGGATCAGAGAGCGCCCGTACCTACTGTCTAGGGTCGGTCGGACCGAGATACACGCTCAGCTGTTGCTTTGTTTTTGGCCGGCCTTCTGATCTAAGCGAAATCCGAAAATCAATAAGTACCTTAAGGCAAAACCAGTTTAAGGTATTGTTGGGATTCCACCAGCTTGTCATGTCTTTTGGGAAACACCATATCAGCTGTCTTTTGCTTAGATATTGAATTACATATACCGAGCTTGATTATCGCTCTATGAATGATGTTCAGCTTATTCGTTTAACAACAAACAAATGGGTATTTCGATTTTCGACGGGTTCTGCGTAAATAGGCAGTTCAAAAGCGTACACTTAAAATATACATTTCTAAAAACTTAGGAAATTGTTATACAAGCTACAAAAATTACTGACAGCTGTGGCTTTTTTTTAAGAAAAACGAGCTTCGACCTTCGATTGCGACAATTTTTTCAACATCCCTGTATTTTGGGTTTCTAATTGAAAGTATATAGATAAAATCTGATTTGCTGGAAAAATAAGTAAATAATTGTATATCTTTTAAACTGTGACCCTTATCATAAAATGTTAATAATATTTTGCGCTCCGAAGAATGCCCAAGATTCTGCTTATTTCCAATATTCTAGCTCTTATAGTTTCCGAGATCTCAATGTTCATACGGACAGACGGTAAATAAGTAAAATTGTTTCAAGCAGCACCCCAGGGATATGCCAAAGCCTCAGCGTTGGGAATTCATCAAAATTTCAATTTGCCACATGCCACACCCACTTTTACGCCCACAAACCGCCCAAAACTGTGGCCCTACAGTTTCCATAATAAAAAATAAATTTTAGCTGAAATATTTTTGTTTACCTACCGACTGACCCACAAACAAAGCTCGCTTTTACTAATTTTCTTGTTTCAAAAAAGTCGATTAAAGTTCTAAAAAATATTAATGAAAAAACTCAGTTATTGTCGATGACTATATGTTAATATGAACTAATGTGAAAACTAATGCGTATTCCATCAACAACAACGAGATTTTTTCGATTATCCTCTGTTTTTGTATGGGCTCAATAAAAGTAATAAATCGTAGGGGGGAACGTAATCTATGGACAATATTGCCAATGAAACTATGTCTTGAAAATCACGTTTGGCCCTCCGCATTTAGAAGAGAAAAGTACAGGTTTTTTGATGCCAATTAACTCAGTAGCCTTGGATATGGACAAAAAAACTATAAGTCGTGTGGGTGGAACATATTAGGTGTAATTCTTAGCATTATTTCCCTACACACAGAAAAACATCCGTTCGAAACGTTCAAAAATCAAGACCAAACGCGGTCAAAAAGTGCGTAGGCCCGTTTGTTGACAATTCATGAACGGTCGATCATAAAATTTGACCGAAACTTTAGGGTTGGGTTCCGAACGAATGGTGTCAGTTTAAGAACATTTCGGGCCTAACTTGAGAACATAAAAATGTAAAAAAACGAGGTTTGTGTACATGCAAGATTTTCTGGACGCCTGGTAGAGATTTATTTAATTTCCCACCGTATGTTTTTTTATTGCTAGAACTTAAGGTATTTTAGTTATTTTGCTGATGACAAAGATATTTAATTTATTAATAGAAGTACATATAAACATTTGAAATAATATTTTAATAAAAGTTACAATTAACAACCGTCTTCTCGCGGGCTCGAACCTGTGCTACCATGTGTCGAAGGCGGACGCTCTAGCACGTGGACCACCGATCGAATTTTTCTGGTGCGGACAATCGGGACACTAGACCTACATAAATGTTTTCATGAACGGTGTTGATAAATTAAGAACAGAGTTCTCCCCATTTCTGTCAAGGCATTTTTCAGTGAAGCGTTCACAATTACACCTAAATGTTCATGATTTGACCACGCGGCGTTCGTTTTTTATTAACGGAACTTAGAGAACGAATTGCTGTCAAATCATGAAAAATGTTCTTGATTCTTTTCGTTTTTTTTTTCTGGGTGTAGAAACTACGGACAAAATCAAAATTACGTTTGACTCTCCGGAATTGCAAAAGTAAATTAAAACTAAGAGACTAGTTTGCGTCGATCTAGCCATGTTCGTCTGTCCGTCTGTCTGTCTGCCTGTCTGTCTGTCCGGATGAACGCTGAGATCCTACGCAGCTCAAGTTTGTTTCAGCAGCGTGCCCCGCCCACTCTTACGCCTACAAGCCGCCCAAAACTATGAATCGTACAGTTTTGATGCTAGAATAAAAATTTTAGCTGAAGTGTATTGTTCTCATCAATACCTATCGATTGACTCAAAAAAAGTTTGCCACGCCCACTTTAACGCCCACAAACCTTCCACAAACTTCAAATAAATCGTAAGTATGAACGCGGATATCTCGGAAACTATCAAACCGCCCAAGCCTGTGGCGCCCAGAAAAACTTTACAGCTCTGTAAATCGTTATGTTATGTTTTTTATCAGATATGCATATGCACTGTTTTAACCAATACCTATAGACTGTCCCATAAAATCTTTGCCACGCCCACTCCAACGCCTACAAACATCCCAAGGAGTTAGGAAAAGAAATTATGTCTGGTCCAGATGATGATATATTTACATATGTATGTTTGCGTGTAAATAGTTGCAAACTGAATTGCGCGGCGAATATACAAACCTCTTTAAAACTATGTATGTTTTGCTCTTTCTTTCTCGACGCAAGCTGAAACAAAAGCATGGCAAAACAAGGAAACGCTATAGTGGAGTGCCTCGACTATCAGATACCCGTTACTCAGCTAAATGGATCAAAGGAAAATGGAGATATGCAAGCAGCAAAGCGAGATTAAAATACGCCACCTACCGGCGGTAGACAGATTTAACCGTTTAATTTAATTAAATTTAATTTTTATTTAGCATGAAAACTGTGGCCGTCACAGGTTTGGGCGGTTTGTGGGCGTTAGAGTGGGCGTGGCAAACTTTTTTTTGAGTCAATCGATAGGTATTGATGAGAAAAATACACTTCAGCTAAAATTTTTATTCTAGCATCAAATCTGTAGGAGCCACAGTTTTGGACGGTTTGTGGGCGTAAGAGTGGGCGTGGCACATTGCTGAAACAAACTTGCGCTGCGTACGTAGCTCAGGAATCTGCACGCCAAATCTTAATAGCCTAGCTCTTATAGTTTCCGAGATCTCAGCGTTCATTCGGACGGACAGACAGACGGACAGACGGACATGTCTAGATCGACTCGGCTAGTGATCCTGATCAAGAATATATATACTTTATGGGGTCGGAAACGCTTCCTTCTGCCTGTTACATACTTTCCGACGAATCTAGTATACCCTTTTACTCTACGAGTAACTGGTATAAAAATTATAATGTAAGGCGCTGCCAACGCAAAGAGAGAGCAATGTGCGCGGCTAACTTACTCTATTTAATAATAAAAACTTAATTTGGTTCCCCTTTTTGGCTATACCTTAACACCAATTCATTGGTCTACCAGTTTTATTTACCTAGTTCCTATCGGGTTAATGTATGATTTAAATTGCTAAAACAATAGAAAGCGCGCGGGAGGGAGGACTTTTTGCTCCTAGCATTTTCTTTCTTAGTGCATTTTTATGCGCCAAAAGAGAAGGGAAATAGTAGTAAAAGGACCGAAAATCCGTGCATGTAAATCTGGCGGGCAACAACTTTACAGCGCTGTAAATCTTCTGTTATGTCTTTAGTCTACGACTTACCATCGTAAGCGAAACTATTGCCCGTCTGCCGAATGCGATTTTTGCGAATTTTTCAAGTGTCTTCCAACTTAAAAGCGATATTCTTAACGTAAATTAATCTTTGCAAGCAATTTAACGTAAACTCATTAAATTAATTTTCCTATGTAAATTTGTGTTTTTCCTTTGCTAAGAACTTAACGTAAATTTGTGTTTTTACGCGGATGCGAGTTGTTGCTGCTTCTGCCGACGTCGCTGCCGTGATTTGCTGATGACTGGTTGCTGCGCACTTTGCTAAGTACCCATTTTAAAGTAATTTTGTTATTTCTATTTTCATGTTGTAAAGTTTTTTCTGCTAAATTTTCGATTTACATTTTTTTTATTTTTTATTTTAAAGTAGTTTTATTGACAATTGTAAACATTTCTATTATCATATTTAAAAGTTTTTCCGATTAAATTTTTGATTATCAATTTTTTTAATCGCCTTGCCCTTTTTTCTTATTTATAGAAATATAAGGAAATTGCCTTTTTAAACGCTTTTTTTTTATTTTTATAAATTTACGTATTTATTATCTAATAGTCCTATAAGTTTTAGTCTTTTTAAAGACTAACACTTAAAATTCTATTTATAAATTAAGGTATTTATTTGTTAACTTAATTAAGGGTTTTAATATTTTAATAATATTTGTTAGGTATAATAATATTTTAAGACTGGGTCTTTTTAAAGACATTTTCTTTGATTATTATTATTCAATATTTTCAATATATTACTATATACTATATACTAATAAAATCGTAATAGGGTTATAAGTTTCGTCTTTCAAGGACTTGCACTTATAGTTCTATTAATTTAGCTTAACTAATCCTTTTTTATAAAATTATAGTTATTATTTATATTTTAAAGATATAATTTCCATTAGGGAAACTTAAATATTTTTATAAAAAGGCCTCGACTAAATAGGCCTCAGTTCACTCTCGACAGCCTAAGCCATCGGACGTGTTCTTCCGCGTATCATTAAAGTACCGCAGCATCCCAACGCATAATCAAAACAAACGCAAAGATTGCCCCCGCTTATCTACTTCCCGATCAACGCAACTAACAATTTTGGCAGCTTTAAAGAAGCCTTAAAGTTTGTTGACCTCATCATGCCCGACCCTCCGGACATCTGGAGAAGGCACCCGCCAGACGGAGTATTCCTAATAGCGACTAGGACAGATGACGACTCCAAGTCTCTAGCTGAAGTCTCACCATTCATTATCAAAAAAACAATAGACAATACAATCCAAGGAGAAGTCACAAGTTGTAAAAAAACCAA